GTTGGTCTGCGCAAGTTGCTCTACGCAAGTTGCACTGTGCAAGTTGCTCTGCGCAAGTTGCTCCGCGCAAGTTGCTCCGGCAAGTTGGTCCCTGCAAGTGGCTCCCTGCAAGTTGCTCTGTGCAAATTGCGCTCCCTGCAAGTTGCTCTGTGCAAGCTCTGTGCAAGTTGCTCTGTGCAAGTTGCTCTGCGTAAGTTGCTCTGCGCAAGTTGCTCTAGGCAAGGCGCTCTGCGCAAACTGGTCGGTGCAAGTTGGTCTGCGCAAGTTGCTCTGTGCAACTTGCTCTGCGCAAGTTGCTCTGCGCAAGTTGCTTTAAAATGCAAGTTGCATCTTGCGACGCCCGCCCGCGGACCAGGGAGGAATCGAACCCGCGACCCGCCGGTTCCGGGAGCAGGCGCGCGAACCACGAGACAACTCCCGAAGACCAGTTCGAACAACCTCGAGTTTTTGCACCTCCACCACGCCGATTCCCGCAGAGGGGTGCGCGAGCACCGCAGAAATCGCAAAAAACCACACCTCGACCACGCCGATCCCCGCAGAGGGTCGCGCGAGCAGGTGAGAAATCGCAAAAAACCATGGGTTTTTGCACCTCGACCACGCCGATCCCCGCAGAGGGTCGCGCGAGCAGGTTAGAAATCGCAAAAAACCATGAGTTTTTGCACCTCGACCACGCCGATCCCCGCAGAGGGTCGCGCGAGCACCGCAGAAATCGCAAAAAACCATGGGTTTTTGCACCTCGACCACGCCGATCCCCGCAGAGGGTTGCGCGAGCACCGCAGAAATCGCAAAAAACCATGGGTTTTTGCACCTCGACCACGCCGATCCCCGCAGAGGGTCGCGCGAGCAGGTTAGAAATCGCAAAAAACCATGGGTTTTTGCACCTCGACCACGCCGATCCCCGCAGAGGGTCGATTTTCGTGTAGTGTCGTCGGCACTACCCCGCCGCCCTAAGAAGAGATTTTAACTCCTCGCAAGTCAATTGCACTTGACTCCTTGCACTTGCAACTTGCACTTGACTCCTTGCTTGTTTCAAGGAGTCATTGCAAGAGTCATTGCAAGGAGTCATTGCAAGGAGTCATTGCAAGGAGTCATTGCAAGGAGTCATTGGCAAGGAGTCATTGCAAGGAGTCATTGCAAAGAGTCATTGCAAGAGTCATTGCAAGGAGTCATTGCAAGGAGTCATTGCAAGGAGTCATTGCAAGGAGTCATGAGAGCCATTGCAAGTTGCAAGGAGCCAAGTGCATGGAGTCAAGTGCAAGTCGCAAGTGCACGGAGTTAAGTGCAAGTTGCAAGTGCAAGGGGCCAAGTGCAAGGAGCCAAGTGCAAGGAGCCAAGTGCATGGAGTCAAGTGCAAGTTGCAAGTGCATGGAGTCAGGTGCAAGTTCCAAGTGCAAGGAGTCAAGTGCAAGTTGCAAGTGCAAGGAGTCAAGTGCAAGTTGCAATCCTTGCCATGACTCCTTGCAATGACTCCTTGCAATGACTCCTTGCAATGACTCCTTGCAATGACTCCTTGCAATGACTCCTTGCAATGACTCCTTGCAATGACTCCTTGCAATGACTCCTTGCAATGACTCCTTGCAATGACTCCTTGCAATGACTCCTTGCAATGACTCCTTGCAATGACTCCTTGCCATGACTCCTAGCCATGACTCCTTGCAATGACTCCTTGCCATGACTCCTTGCAATGACTCCTTGCAATGACTCCTTGCAATGACTCCTTGCAATGACTTTCATGATGATGATTCCTTGCAATGACACCTTGTAATGACTCTCATGAGAACAACTCAAGTGAACCCAGCGGAAGAACCCTTCGCCATGCTTTCGGGAAAAAAAAACAGAAAAATAAAGCAGCTTTAGGAACTGGTAGGTAAGCCCGGCACAGGCACAGTTTGGATCACTAGAAGATGCAAAGAAGGGCACACCAAAATGAGGAAGCCCCGAAGCGGGTGGTTTGCCCTTTGGCGTCCCCTTGAAACCATCCAAAAATCACCGTGTGGCCTCAAAACAATACACGAGCTCCAAACGACCAGCTGAGATGGCCATGGGTCAAAATCCAAATCGTACCCCCAGTGAACATCCCAATCCCTACTATAGACTAAAATGGGTGGTGCACCTCCTACCAACCAAAATGGGATCCCAAAACGGTTTTGACAACCACAACCATGTGGCAACTCGCTTTGGATCTTGTGGCCATGCCCCCCACATCAATGGTCCAAACGAGCTCCGAGGTGCCCCAAATGTCGGAGATCTCCGCGAGGGCATCCCGGGCCTCGATCCAAGTGAGGCCTGGCGAGATCCAAGCCTCCGATGGGCGCCAGCCCCCCGAGGTCAACCAACTTCGGGTCATATCCCCACATAAAAACCCCACGTTCAAAAAAGTAAAATATCAATATCAACCCCACAGAAACAGATTATTAAGAAAAACAAAAACATAAACAAAAAACACCAAAAGACCCACATAACCCCCATGAAAACTATGGTTGTGACCCTCTCCGTTTTTGGGGTGATGTTCGGCCAGGTTGTTTGGTGGCTAGTAACCTAGGCTAGAACCCACCTATTTGGTGGCTTGGCACCTACTAACTGCGCTGAACACCCCAGTAACTTGCTCCAAACAAACAAACACAACAACAAAAACAAACAAAAACAGAAACAGAAGCAAAAAGAAAGAGAAAAGAAAGAAAGAAAGAAAGAAAGAAAGAAAGAAAGAAAGAAAGAAAGAAAGAAAGAAAGAGAGCAAAATAAACGAACAAACGAAAGAAAGAAATAGAAGAGAAAGCAAGCAAGCAAGACAATCAGCAAACAAACAAACAACAAACAACACATACGAGCAAAGAAGAGCCACCCCATCGGCCTCCTGTGATCGAAGCATAGAGCGTGTGCATCGAGGCTTGAAGGCCACCGAAACGGCTCTTCAGGAAACCTCACGGGCTTGCGCCGGAGAGAGCGACTGGTTCCTCCCAGAGAGACACGCGGAAGGGATCAGGTTCAAAGGCCGTCAACGGACCAAAGGTGCAGGCCACGTACTGTTGTCGTCTCACAAGAAGAGGTCTTCCAAAGAGCATCAAAGATTCAAAGTGGCTTCAAGGTCAGGTGGTAGCTTGCCAGCGATCGATTGAAACTTCAGAAGATGCAGAAATGAAGCCAGGTCCAATTCCGGAATCGCACCGATCCAAACCACACAAAACTTGGCGGCCCGTGGATTCCCGAGAAAAGTTATACTTTCAGTGCAATTCGCCACAGCTCCCCCTAACCTCCCAAGCAACTGAAGGTCCAAGGGTGAGGTTGTGTCATAAATCCCTCTAGCCCCCGAAACAACTTCACGTCCAAGAGTATGGGGGCGTCACAGGGTCCGCACAGAGCGCACAGAGCATCTTTAGTAGAAGACTCCCTGCCGACCAAAATAAAAAGTACGATTAGTGCCCAATTAGCTGGCAAGAACTGTAAACAGTCTTCCAAAATAATGGCACAACACACACACACACACCATATGCTCTAGTCAAGTCATTGAATGTCCCTTTGAAACATGGCTGGAACCAGGGCGTGTTTGTTGCCGAATGGTGGAAACGATTGCCAAGCTGTGTCAACTGTTGCAGGAACCCGAATCTGGCGTCCCAAAATTATATTCGCCATGGTCACAACTCCATTTTTGGCCTATGGTCATGGTTCCCCCAATAGGACACAGTAAACGCTTGTTTAGGATCCTTACTACCAGGAGGTTAACCCCGGGTCTTTGGACCATGGCACATGTGTTCAGAGTCTGTTACATAGACCCCATACAAAGTAACAAAAATCGTTTTGGAGGACCCCGGAGTTGGAAAAGAAACTTGGGCGTCTCGGCGACACGTCATCAATGGCTGGGTCGAAGGACCCTTGGGGCTTGCATAAAGGGATTTCGGGTGGCACTTGGGGTCAAGGGCGCCCTAGGGGTTGATTCCCCATTCTGTTCAACCATTCTTCTTTTCGAAAACCAGTTGGTCCTGGGATTTTGATGGTTTCCTCAATAGAGAACCCTGTTGAAAAGAAACACCCAAAACACCCGACCCAAAACACCGGAACCGCCACCAGCACGCCACGCGGTCTTTTGATCACTAACATGTTGAAATTACATCGGGACCCAGTGGTTTTGATTGAATTCTTGCCCCATCTGGAAACAAGGCATTCTTGAGGGGCCTGGTGTTCTTTTTGGATTCCTGGGGCCCGAAACAAGGCTTCCTCGCGGCCCCGGGGTTGAATCATTCGCCCCAGGCGTGAATCCAACAAACCCCTCGAGAAAGCCCTGTTTCCGGCCCCGGAGCAGGAATATAAAAAGAAATAGGCCCTCAGGTGTTGAAGTATTAGTGATTATTTAGGCCCTTATGTAAGTTTCCTGCTGGCTTCCCTTTGAACACCCTCCAAAAGGGGGTGCCCTTTCTCGGAATTCCTTCTCATTGTCCTATATTGCAGTTCAAAGCAATGGGGAAGCTTAGTTGAAATTGGCAACCAAGCAGTGATGTGCACAGAGCCCGTGAGTTCCCTTTGGCTTTCCTTCAGTGCTTCGAAATCCCTGAAGATTTGAAGATTGATTCCTGAAAAGGGCCAAAGGAAACCGTTTTACCAATAAGGTTGTTTGTTCACCGGAGCAAAGCAGCTGCCCCAAATTCCAGGCCCTTAACAGGGAATGCAAACGGTACAACTGTCGCGTGATGCTTGTTTCTTGGTTGGATCATCTCAGCATCCGAGAAAATTGGCCTTAGATCTGAAACCCGAACCCCGCCGATTTGACCTTCTGGCCGGGTGTGCCTTTGTTGGGGAACCCCCCAAAAACGAAATGCCTCTGGCCAGCCTTCCGTAACCTCCGTACGCTCATGGGCATCTCGCGCCAGGTACTCAGACGTGATGTCGGTGAAAATCAAGCCGAACCTGGAAGGACAAATGGATCCCTCTACCTAGTTTGGTGGTTCGTCGGTCCCTTGCTAAAAGCTTCTAACTTTGGTGGATGATATTCTTATATATATATATATATGTGCATATATCTCTCCAATCTCTAAAAGTCTAAAAGTCTAAGGGTGTGGCCGGGAACTGAGCGGAAAGGTCCCCGGCTTCAAACGAAACAAGTGGAATTCCAGATTTAAGATGGACATCGGGCTTTACCCGTTGAGCTTCCTCCAAAACACTCAGGGAGCCCTCTAAAAGTGTGAAACACCCCCCGAAAGCATGTAGAAGCCAAGCGGAACTTTGAACAATCATGTCGAAGACTAGCACAGTTCATGTTGTCCTGCAAGGGTCCAGTATTGATTCAGAGCCGCAATGGTGCTTAATGGTCCCTGATACTTTAAGTTGCAATGGCTGCCTTCAATCAGCATATGGAGCCAAATGTGCGTAATTGTTTGGCCCTTTTATTTTATCTTTTCGTAGTGATGGAAGTCTGACCATCCCCATGTCCCCTTTGAGTGCTTTCCGCCTGGCTACAGGGGAAAGCCTTGGGACAACCGTGATGTGTACTCCATCTGAAGTAAGAATTATTCCCCCAAGCAAAGAGCTCTGAATCGGTAAGCTCGCAACCCATAAAAAAGAGAGAGGTAGTTAAAAGGGGAAGTGTGAGCCCTGAACCACCACTGGGAAGTGTAGGGTCCATGAAAGTGACATCCTCGAATAACTAATGGTCCAAAGGGGAACCCCCAAAAGTATTTCTGAGAACCCACACCACAGGGCTCATTGCAGAAGTTCCAATGAACCGGCCACTTTTGGAGGCCCAACAACAGGAGAATTGAGGGAGCCCAACCACCCGAATCTTCTTCTGTTCGCGGGGCAAGAAGATGATGAGCGCCAGCAGCACCACCGACCACACCTCAGGCATCGAATCACGGGGAGTGGGACCGAAGACCGCGCCCTTCTTGGAGGTCGCTGAAGCGACCTTCATTGAAACGCAAAGGGACCTCAAAAAGGAAACCACACCAAGATTTTGCGGGATCAAGCACGTTGGGGGGGCTGCGCTTTAGGTACTGGTGCTGGTTTATGGTGGTGTAGGCTTAGTGTAGGCTGGGTTTAGAGTTGGTTTCGGCCCTATGAAGAAGGAGGGCCACTAGAAAACAAATAAAGACACTAATGGAGCAAGTGCGGGATTACAAACCAGGATCACCAAGCCGAAAAACGGTCCTAGAAAGAAGCCGGGGGGTTGGGGGGGCGCAGCCCCCCGATTTGCGAAACAAATCCAGACACCAATTGAAAAAGTGCGAAATTACAGACAAGGATCACAAAGCCAAACAAAGAAGCTGGGACGGGGGGGGGGGGGAAACGCGAGGGAGTCGGAACGCAGCCCCCCCCATTCAAAAACAACTCAGGACACTAATGACAAAAGTGCGCGATTACAAACCAGGTGCTCTAAGAAGATGAGTGAACAACTGACTGACTGACTGACTGACTGACTGACTGACTGACTGACTGACTGACTGACTGACTGACTGACTGACTGACTGAATGAATGAATGAATGAATGAATGAATGAATGAATGAATGAATAAATGAAACGGATGGATGAATGAATAAATGAATGAACGAACAAACGAACGTAAGGAAGCAAGGAAGGAAGGAATGAATGGAATGGAATGGAATGGAATGGAATGGAATGGAATGGAATGGAATGACGCATGAATGAATGAATGAATGAATGAATGAATGAATGAATGAATCAATGAATGAATGAAGGAAAGGAAAGGAATGGAATGGAATGGAATGGAATGCAATGGAATGGAATGGAATGGAATGGAATGGAATGATGCATGAATGAAAGAATGAATGAATGAATGAATGAACGAACGAACGAACGAAGGAAGGAAGGAAGGAATGGAATGGAATGGAATGGAATGGAATGATGCATGAATGAATAAATGAATGAATGAATGAATGAATGAATGAATGAATGAATGAATGAATGAATGAATGAATGAATGAATGAATGAATGAATGAATGAATAAATAGATGAAATGGATGAATGAATGAATGAATGAATGAATGAATGAATGAATGAATGAATGAATGAATGAATGAATGAATGAATGAATGAATGAATGAATGAATGAATGAATGAATTAGTGAACGAACGAACGAATGAAATGGATGGATGAATGAATGAATGAATGAATTAGTGAACGAACGAACGAACGAACGAAGGAAGGAAGGAAGGAATGGAATGGAATGGAATGGAATGGAATGGAATGGAATGGAATGGAATGGAATGGAATGGAATGGAATGGAATGATGCATGAATGAATGAATGAATGAATGAATGAATGAATGAATGAATGAATGAATGAAGGAAGGAAGGAATGAATGAATGAATGAATGAATGAATGAATGAATGAATGAATGAATGAATGAATGAATGAATGAATGAATGAATGAATGAATGAATCAATGAATGAATGAATGAATGAATGAATGAATGAATGAATGAATGAATGAATGAATGAATGAATGAATCAATCAATGAATCAATGAATGAATGAATGAATGAATGAATAAATAAATGAAATGGATGGATGGATGGATGGATGAATGAATGAATGAATGAATGAATGCATGAATGAATGAATGAATGAATGAACAAACAAACGAACGAACGAATGAAATGGATGGATGGATGGATGGATGAATGAATGAATGAATGAATGAATGAATGAATGAATGAATGAATGAATGAATTAGTGAACGAACGAACGAAGGAAGGAAGGAAGGAAGGAAGGAATGGAATGGAATGGAATGGAATGGAATGGAATGGAATGGAATGGAATGGAATGGAATAGAATGGAATGATGCATGAATGAATGAATGAATGAATGAATGAATGAATGAATGAATGAATGAATGAATGAATGAATGAATGAATGAATGAATGAATGAATGAATGAATGAATGAATGAATGAATGAATGAATGAATGAATGAATGAATGAATGAATGAATGAATGAATGAATGAATGAATGAATGAATGAATGAATGAATGAATGAATGAATGAATGAATGAATGAATGAATGAATGAATGAATGAATGAATGAATGAATGAATGAATGAATGAATGAATGAATGAATGAATGAATGAATGAATGAATGATGAATGAATGAATGAATGAATGAATGAATGAATGAATGAATGAATGAATGAATGAATGAATGAATGAATGAATGAATGAATGAACGAATTAATGAATGACTGACTGACTGACTGACTGAATGAATGAATGAATGAATGAATGAATGAATGATTGAATGAATTAATGAATGAATGAAGGAAGGAATGAATGAATGAATGAACGAGTGACTGCATACATGAATGAATGAAATGAATGTATGCTGGCATGCAACTGTGTCGCGACAAAAACAAGCAGGCAGCCAGCCAACCAACCGCCGACCAGACAGACCGACCGACCGACCGACCGACCAACCAACCAACCAAACCAGCCAGCCAGCCAGCCAGCCAGCCCAGCCAGCCAGCCAGCCAGCCAGCCACCCAGCCAGCCAGCCAGCCAGCCAGCCAGCCAGCCAGCCACCTGAGCCGGTGCTAGGCGAGAAGCCGGTGCAAGCAAAAAACAACATTCCAAAGTGTACCCGAACTAATACCAAGAATACAAAGTGCAACTGTTTTGCGGCACCTAATTATTCATACGTGGGACTGCCCCAAGCGTCATCTCATTGTTCCGGCTCTGCACATGGGTCTGTTTCAAAATGGGAAACTGCTTTTGTGAGGGGTCGACTCCCATTGATTCTCACTCCCAAATGTGCCATTGCCAAAACACCCATCGGATGTTTCCAAAGAGCCCTTCCAGACACTCGACCCGATCGATTTGGTCCTCTGGGATCCCATGGGTTGAGGCGCCCATCCCTTCCAACCCTCTGCCCCTTTAGATATGCAGACATCGATTCCTTTCGGCGAGTTGAGATTCCTTTTGGTGGGCTTGCCTCAAGGGGAAATCTAGGGACACACGTGTCTAACAGGGTCTTTGTGGCTTTCCAGTAGTTCATTTTAAGGGGACGAAAGGTAAATCAATTTGGGTCACTTGCTTCGCTTTGTCGATTTTGGCACAAGTGTGCCTGATGGGCTCCGCACCGGGGCTTTTAGGGGAGACTTGATCTTCACTGCGACTTTACCTCCGAATCACTTCTGGGCTTATACTTTCTGGTCAGTTGCAATTCGCAGCAGCTGGTCTATTTCAGGAAACAGGGTCTTGCCGTTTTGTCACTGCGGTCGCTCAAGACTGTGCTTGTCCTGTCTCAGATATGGATCAAGGGTTTCCTGCTTGTGACACCTCGCTGGAAGCGGCTGAAATGTGGGTGGTCCCCGGGTTTCTGAAAGGGAATCGACGGCCAACCTTGTGGGATCCCCACCGTCGCGCATATACATGTTGGATCATTCGCTGCAGCCCCCTGTTGGGTGACTTGTTGAAAACAACTCTCAGCCTGAGGCAACCTGCTCATGCATCAACAGGAATAGTGATCAATACATATAACAAATGCATATATATATATATAGAGGGAGAGAGAGACAGAGAGAGAGAGAGAGAGAGACAGAGAGAGAGAGAGAGAGACAGAGAGAGAGAGAGAGAGAGAGAGAGACAGAGAGAGAGAGAGAGAGAGAGAGAGACAGAGAGAGAGAGAGAGAGAGAGACAGAGAGAGAGAGAGAGAGAGAGATCCTGGGGTTCAATGGGCGACATGCGCACGGCGTTCAACGCGCTTTTTGGTATCCCTTTAAAATGGCACCGCAAGGCGGAACCAGGATTCAACATGGGAGGAGGGGATATTTTGACGTCCACCCATGTAAGGAATGAACCCAGAGATTGACCATAGGCACGGCGCAGCTTGTCACAGCTTCCCAAGCTCGGCATTTTTGGAAGGAACGCCCCTTGCTTTCCGAAGTACCAGATCTCTTGTGCTGCCATTGGTTCCTTTACCAGAAACAAAGACTTGGAATCTCCTCCATTTTTGCAAGGGTAGACCTCATCAGAGCTGAAAAAGCTGTTTTCTGCGTACCCAGATGCGGGCCAGCCTTTCAGGACACATAGGGAACCCTTTTTCTAGAGAACGGTTTGCATGCGCTTTTTGTGGATTTCACCTAAGCTTGCCCCTGTTGGTCCTTTTTGGCAATATCTTACTACTGTATTACATTCCAGCAGGGCTCGAACCACAGATTCGCACACAAATCCAAACCAGTTTCTAGACTCTTGTTGTTGTGATTGAACTATCATCATGATCAAGCTCAAAGAAAGCTCCTAGAAAAGCACAACACCATTTTGGTGGAAAGGAACAAGTCCCTTTTTGTGAAAGAAAGGTATTCCGAGATTCCCTTCATGTTCCTGTCATTCTGATACATCATGCCATCCAAATCTGATATTGGTCTACATCCACCCTTCCCCCCAGCCTTTCACCCCCCCACCCCCCCCCCCCACCCACCCCCCACTCCACCCACCCTTTCACCCACCCCACCCCCCGCCCCGATTCGACTCTCTCGGAGGCCCCGAGGCTGGTGCCATGGCTCTCAAAGTGTGGCCGATGGAGTAGAGCAGCGACCGCAGGGAGCGGATGAACTTCACCAACCTGGCGCTCTCCGATCAGTCTGGAGAAAACGGCTTGGATACTCGTGTTTTTTCTTTCCCGTGGATGTCACGAAAAAGTTCGTCCTGATGGTTCCTTCCTTTTTTTGGCACTCTTTTAATATCCTACAGGGGTGCATCCACAAAATCCGCATCCACGCCGTTTCCTAGAAGAGGGCTTGTCCCAGATCCCCTGCAAGAGATTACCGATCCTGGGAAGCTCTAAGAGATGGGTGTGAATTTTCTGTACAGCACCCTTCATCTTTCATGCATCATGGCTAATAGTTACCCGTAGTCTTTACCTGACAAAACTGTTGAACTCCAGCTATCACCTGTGAATTTGAGTATAGGGGGCCCAAACTAGTGGACATCAGAATTCGGGGATCCATGTCCAACCACTTCCTAGGCCTGGGAGTTCGCCCTGGTTGCAACCCACTTAAGACTTGGGGCACTTGCAAGCCACGGGAAGTGGTTTACAACCATAGATACCAACCTACCTACCAGGATGGTTTATCTTTTCTTCACCCACATCTGGGGTACTCCAAAAATAAGACCTTCCAATTCGGTTTCATGTTCAGTCTACCGGAAAAAATACATGTATGCTTGGAGACAGACTTCGACTCTTGGTTGGGTTCCCTAAGAATCTTGAGACCTCAAACAGGCTTTGTAGCTTCGAACCCGTATGGAGATCCGGACACCTCCATGGGTCAAAAGAGCCCGGGACTTTTTGACAGCGTTGGAGGTCCTCCCCAAAAAACACTTGTGATCGGTGCGATAGGAAATGACAACGAGTTCGGGTCTTAACCAACCCACCGCACCTCAACCCCCCACCCCAACCCCCCGGCCTCACTATTCGTATTGCGCGAGTGATGCGACCGATGCGTAGGATTCGGAGGAGGCGCATGTTGGTGAAGACATTCCCGTTCCCGTCTCCGGCCTGGCGTTTTCCCATGGAATGTAACCAAATGCTTTGAAGGATACACAAATCAAACCAACCGCCACACACGCGCACACAAGCACGCAGCCATTTGTGGGATCTCCGCCTGGGAAAAATAACCCTTTTTGGGTTTGCAGGGGAGAATTTGTGCCAGAAATGCGTGCCACAAATACTCCCCTCCAAGTTAAAATGGAGCCCACAAAGGGGGTCACCAGAAGAAGATTCCTCCAACATCGTATTTGTTCGGTTTCTGGTTCATATTTAGTGATTTTAACAATATCTTTGACAAAAATCGGAGGAGACCGGGTCTGGGTGAATGATTGCATTTGTCTTTTCCACAGATTCTTCCCGGAAACCAAAAGTAAAGGAGAAACCCAAAGTTCACGGCCGCCTTGGTGTCCTGGCGCTTGAGGCCGGAAGTCGGTTCTCACGTGCCCTCAAAAAGAAGGGTTGAGCTCAATTGCGCAGCTGACGGCCAGACTGAGTTTGTTTTTTTCCGCTTGGAAATTAGGAACCGTAGGAACCGTAGGAACCGTAGGAACCGTAGGAACCGTAGGAACCGTAGGAACCGTAGGAACCGTAGGAACCGTAGGAACCGTAGGAACCGTCGGAGCCGTCGGAACCGTCGGAACCGTCGGCCCGAAATGGTGACTACAGCCAGCAACGCCTGCAAAGAATGGCCCGGGCAGGAAAATGCTACGCCCGAGCAAAAACAGCCAATGGCATTCAATGTGCAAATGTCGGCAGCCAACGCGTACGGCCGGCGTACAAATACCCTCAACTTCAGCATTGAAAGCTCAGTTTGATGCCCTTTTGAGCCGTTTCGGGGCCAAAAGGGCATCAAATGTCCATTTGCGAGTTTAGCCGCCAAATGGCCATCTTTTGCAGGGTTGCAGCTCCCCTTCTGCACAGCCATTTAATGAAACGGAACCGAACCGAACCGCGAACTGGCGACAGGAACCGAAGCGAACCAAAGCGAACAGTAGACAAGTATGAGAGTTCAACAACTTGAAGTGTTTGGGAACTCTGAGAAAGGTCGCTACATTTTTCCGAGATCCCCACGTGCTGTGTGATCTCCAAGAAACACGTCTGTCAGGCCAGTCGGGTCGCACATACGCCTTCGGGAGAACTGTGGGTATGTGTTTGGTTCTTTTAACACAAACAAATGCGAACATAAATTTGGTTTATTCAGGTCCACCAACCACTTTGAGATGGTTCACCGTTACAAATCATAGCCGTATTAATAGCTTCTCAGAACCCTTCAATGCACTAAGAAGACTCCTTCCAAACCCTTCCAGGCGGGTGGGGGTTGGGGGGTTCCCCAGGTTTTTTCCTTTGGAAGGGAGCTGGTTTGAACTAAACACTTAGGGAGCCATGGTGGGCTGGCTTTGAACATGAACACAAAACGACCCATGAAATCTCAGGATGTTGCTGAAACCCAACGTTCAATCCAACCACTAGGAATATTTCCACTTTCAACCTAGCACACAGTGCGGATGGCTCAGACATGTGCCATCCGCAAGCCTGCCAATTCGGACTGACCATGGGTCTAAGAGTCTAAGGAACCATGAAACCAATGGGAAGTGCCCCTAGAGATTGCATGGACCTCCGAAGGGCACTATACAGTTCTCTCTGTGGAGCCCATTGTTGGGTCAAAATTAAACCACCAGGAATTGGACCGCTGGTAGTCCTTGGTAACCCATTTATTTGCCAAGGTAACCCATTTTAGATACCTATGTTGACAACCACAGCCACATGCCTTTTGACACAGCCACATGAGGACTGCCAGCCTCTTGGAGGGCCACCTCCAGCGCAAACTCGAAAATGCTCGAGGAAACCTGAGGCGTGCCCATGCCCCGTCCGACTTGGTTTTTGAGGGTCCTTGGAAAGGCATTTAAGCCAGTAATCAAGATTCACAGCCCTTTGCAGCCCCCACGCAAGGATGTTTGTAGTAGGTACCTGCTTTTTGTTGAGGGTTTGAAGTATGAGCTATGTCAGTATAAACCCTTGTGACCATCTTAATGATTGGCAAGCTCATGCATGACCTGCATGTGAAGTCATCAACTGCGCGTGTCTGAATCCCTTCCTGATGTTGCTGTTGGTGGCAATGGAGGACTGTGTATTAAGGGTCTTGGAAGATCAGGTTGGCTGGAACACCTATCAACAATTGTTGATGGACTGAACGCCTCATGTAACTGAGGTGCACCCCAGATTTACAAGCACAATGGATGAACAAGAGGATTTTTCTCGCAGTAATCTGGATCCCCTCTTAAATGGGATCTCTGTTGATCAACCAAAGACTCACATCGCCCGAGTTCCCATTGCGCGCGCATCGGATTGATTCATCTGATCCGGAGGAGCCTAATTAGAGGAGCCCCCTAAGGCGGGATCCATCCCTGATTGGTGCGGTCCTGCGGATGAATTCAAAGATAACATGAATTGCCCAGTTTACGAACCACTTACAAGTCCACCAAGGAGTGAACCCTGAATGAATTCAAAGATAACATGAATTGCCCAGTTTACGAACCACTTACAAGTCCACCAAGGAGTGAACCCTGAATGGCTACTCACTTGTCGAGCAGGTTGTGTCATCCTGATGTTGCTCCCATCAGGCCACCAGGCCCTGACACGTGGCAAAGGGATACGTTTGTTTGTCCATTGCCACCATTGCTGAGACATGGTCCAGCTCGATGTTCCATCGCTGATGGGAATTGCTTATGAAGGGATTCCTTTCAATACCTCAAGAAAGGATTCAGGATTGCCTTCGCACAGCCTAGGCCATGTAAGCAACTGGAGAAACAAACGAGCCAGCGAACACGCCACCAACCGAGCGAGCAAGCAAGCAAGCAAGCAAGCAAGCAAACAAACAAACGGAGGGACGAAGGGACGCACAGACAGACAGACAGGCAAACAAACAAACAAACAGACAAGCAAGCAAGAAAGCAAGCAAGAAAGCAAGCAAGCAAGCAAGCACGCACGCAGGCAGGCAGGCAGGCAAGCAAGCAAACACCCAAAGACGACATCCATTTGTGGTAGCTTGCTGACGATTTTGCAGGTTCAGGAGAATACCGTTCAGGGGAATGCTGTTCAGGGCATGCTTTCGACCCCCCGCCCCCCTCACGTTTCATCTTCCAGCGGCGTAATCTCCTGGCAACATGCGCATCATAGGTGAGGACGCCAAGCAAATCCGAGGTTGCCAGTTCATGTGCCAGTTTAGTGAGTCTTGGCAAATCCGCCTGGATTCGCAACTCAAGGGGCAAAATCATACTAAAAGTTTGGTTGATCCGCAATTTACGGGGGTAAATCCGCCTTTGATCCGCCTGGATTCCACCTGGGGTTGTTTTTGTGAAATCTCCCACCCCACTCTCATTCCGGCCTTCCCCCACATCCGATCCCCGCGGCGCATCCCAAGGATCGAAAGGGGGTGGGTTACAGCCAACATGAGGCATGAACATAAAATCATGTGTCCAAGTTCGCCCCAAACTTTGATTCTGAAGC